CAGGCAATTAAGACTACATCCCTCACAATGGTGTTTGTTTTTAATTTCTTTTTGTTTTTAACTTCTTAGGGTTTGGTTTTCTGTTTCTATATTGTTGTAAATGGCTGTGATATATTTTTATGATACATTGGCATATAAATATTTTCATAAATAAATCGATAAACTATTTCAGAACCTTGCAATAACCTGCCCACCCCAACCCAGTCCTGATAGCAAAATGCATTATTTCATTGTAACAGTTTCCAGTGAGGTAGACATGTCAGTCTGTTGTAGCAAACATAACAATGAGGCCTTGTTGCTTCATCAGATGCATAAAGTTGTTATCTTCAGTTGGCAGGTACTTGGGAATACAAAGAAGAAAGTAAACAGTGAGATCAAGTGGTAATGAAATGCAAAAAAAAAAAAAGCTTAAATGCAAGTTACATGAAAGGCACACATCAAGGATTCATTGACCACACTCATCTTCCAACTTGATATATGCTATAATGTCATCCCCACCCTTCGGCATTCTACATGGACAACTGGGCCAGTCTCTACACATAAGAGTACCCTGGCACAAATCTTACATTCAGCAAGAAGTAGAATACAATGGTACCTCGGTTTAAGAAGAGTCCTGTTTAAGAACGATGCGGTTTACAAACTCCGCAAAACCAGAAATAGTGTCCTGGTTTGAGAACTTTACCTTGGTCTAAAAAAGGAATCCCAACAGTAGAAGGGCACCAGCGGTGGTAGGCCTCATTAGGGAAAGCACACCTCGGTTTAAGAACAGTTTTGGTTTAAGAACGGACTTTCAGAACAGATTAAGTTTGTAAACCAAGGCACCACTGTATTTCAACTGCTCAGGGCATTCTGCTGCTGCCCTGAAAAGTTGTTTTTAAACAAAGAGAGACTCCGACATGAAACTGACTACAAGTTATCAAGAATTTCCATTCGATTATATTTTGCTTTAATAGGGATTGGGGCTTTCTGTCCCACTATGAATATCAATGATTGCATTATTAATGCTGATGTGAATTATCACTACTCTTATTTGACATACATTTACTCTGAAGTGGAATTGTCATAGATAGTACTGTTTGCATTTCATTGCCATTTGATCTCACTGTTTACATTCTTTTCACAACATCATCTAGCCCATGAAAGTTTTTGCCATAATACACTGTAGTACCGTGAGATCTTGTCTCTGTTTTATGCAAATACACGTGACTGAGATTCTTGCAAAATCAAAACAGAAACTGCAGAGATGAGGCCTATAATGGTTCAGTCCTATATAGGTCAACTCAGAAGTGAACCCCATTGAGTTCCTGGGAAATTCCTCCCAATATTTCACTATAAATAACATTAACAAGGAAAACAAAAAACATCAGACGTGATCACTATCAAATGACAATACAGTGGTACCTCGGGTTAAGTACTTAATTCGTTCCAGAGGTCCATTCTTAACCTGAAACTGTTCTTAACCTGAGGTACCACTTTAGCTAATGGGGCCTCCTGCTGCCGCCACACCGCCGGAGCACGATTTCTGTTCTCATCCTGAAGCAAAGTTCTTAACCCGAGGTACTATTTCTGGGTTAGCGGAGTCTGTAATCTGAAGCGTCTGTAACCTGAAGCGTATGTAACCCGAGGTACCACTGTATGTGTTATTTTTCCATCGAAAATGACTGGCTTGGCATCTATACACACTGTGAGAGATACATGCTGAAGTTTAGGGAACAAATGTAATTTACCACAGTTCATTAAGGAACATTTGAGGAATTTCAATCCTCTCCAACCCACCAGTGCACTAACTCCTAGAGAACACCGCAGTTACCACATGGGAAGATTAAGATTGCATAAATACCATACATTTAAAACACATTACCCCACACAAGAATCCTGGGAACTGCAGTTTACCCCTTCACAGACCCACAATATCCAGCACCTTTAATAAACTACAGTTCCCAGGATTCCTGGGGAGTGTGTGCATGCTTTAAATGGATGGTGTGTATGCAGCCTAAGGCATTGGTAAAGCCGTGGGTGGGTGGGTGTGGGTGTTATTTGCCACTATGCAATTACAATGTATCTATAAACATAAAAAAACCCTTTAGAAAAATGCAAGCCTCTATATACAATTAAGAGTCATATAAAAGCACCCTTAAGGCACTATGTAAAAAAATGCATTTTTGTTTTGAACTAATATTATATTTTGAATATATATATAGCCCATTTCCCTATATCCCAACTTGGAATTTCTGCTCATTTGAATAGTCAATTTCTTCTTTGGTTTTTCCAACAACTTCAACGTTCCCCCAATTCAAATAGGATTTCCCCCACTACCTTTTTCTGTACAGAAAGTTAGGACAACTTTATACCATAGTTAGTTAACACAGAATATTTATCTGACATTATCACTCAAAATGCCTACCAGAGCAGAATGCCCTTCTCAAGTGCAAATTGTGTGTTAAACTGGAAGAAGAAGAAGAAGAAGAAGAAGAAGAAGAAGAAGAAGAAGAAGAAGGAGGAGGAGGAGGAGGAAGGAGGAGGTGGTGGTGGTTATCATTTGTACCCCACCCATGTGACTGGATTGCCCCAGCCACTCTGGGAGGCTGTGTTTTGTTGTTCCTAAAAAATCCAGTAGCAGCTATGCACATTCCAAAGAAGTCACCTTGTTACCTTCTAGGCAGCAAGTACCACTGAAACCAAAAGGGCCAATTATAAACATTATTACCTATGAACCACTTCATGAACTGTTCCGTAATCAGTGCTTTTTTTTCTTTAAAAAATATTTAGGGGTACTCTCATTTTGACTCAAGAAAATCACCATTTTATAGTTCAAATCGGGGAAATAAATACAGTAAATGGAAAAAAGTACAAAGATTCACAAAATGTTTAGGGGTATGCGTACCCCTGTGTCCCCCCAGAAAAAAGCACTGTCCGCAATCAAGATGCATAGGAGCCAGTTGCAGAAGGGGCTGAATCTGCAACTTTTTCAAGTTCTTGGTCAAGGGAGTCAGCCATTTAAAACATGAAAAGAACAACCTTGGGGACCCTTTTCCCCCCACTTTATTATTACATATCCACACAATAAAAGTGCCACTGTTAAGACAAGCGTTAGGGTCAGACTGAGCTGTGGGTCCTGCCCCACCAAGCTGCAGATCAATGGGGGGGGGCGGCGAAACACAAGAGAAAGCTTTAATCCACCTCACAATTCAAACTCTCCAGTTGTAGCTGTGGAGCAAGAGAAGCATTTGTTCCTCTTGCACGTTGACAGTGCTACACAAAGCAATCATGTAGCTGCCACGGAGGCACATTAATATAATGGCATTAGAAAAATGGGGAGAATGCACCCTCTCCTAGATCCTGCATCCTCAGGATCACACCCGGGCACTTAGAGGTTACAAGTGTCAGACCTGGAAGGTCAGGGCTCAAATCCCCACTTGATCATTACTCTGGAATAACTTGAGGTGCTGTGGTTTGCCAGCAGGGCCAGATTTAGGTTTGATGAGGCCCTATGCTACTGAAGGTAATGGGGCCCTTTATATGTTCAGCTGTCCTTTGTCAACTACAAATTGTCGCTGTTTTTTGTGTTGAATATATGCTATATCGTAATTTATGGATCTAATAGGTATCTAAAGTAAGGTTACCAGACGTCCCCATTTCCCGGGGACAGTCCCTGGATTTACAAATCAGTACTCTGACAAAAAAAGGGAATGTGGGTGGCGCTGTGGGTTAAACCCCAGAGCCTAGGACTTGCCGATCAGAAAGTCAGCGGTTTGAATCCCCACAACGGGGTGAGCTCCCGTTGCTCGGTCCCAGCTCCGGCCAACCTAGCAGTTCGAAAGCACGTCAAAGTGCAAGTAGATAAATAGGCGGGAAGGTAAACGGCGTTTCCGTGCGCTGCTCTGGTTTGCCAAAAGTGGCTTAGTCATGCTGGCCACATGACCTGGAAGCTGTACGCTAGCTCCCTCGGCCAATGAAGCGAGATGAGCGCTGCAACCCCAGAGTCGGCCACGACTGGACCTAAAGGTCAGGGGTCCCTTTATCTTTACCTTACCCTGACAAAATCCTATCATTCCTACTGAAGTTGAAAAGTGTCGCCGGATTCATTGGAAAAAAATCTGGTAACCTTAATCTAAAGCCATTTGAACATCACAAAATATGTATTTTATCAAGGTAATTGTTGAAGTGAAATACAATTAAGAAGAAGTATATTAATAGTGAAATAATTATGAAGCTCTTAACTTAAAATGATTGGGGGCCCCATTACTTACATCACAGGAGCCTACACAACACGAAACACTGTTGCTGTATGTAGGTTTTATTTTATTTGTTTTTTATCTTATAAAATGTACATCCAGTTTTTTTTCCTTTAAATTTTTTTGGGGCCCTCAAAAGAGTGGGGCCCTAAGCTACAGCTTGTTTAACTGCAAATAGTACATGCATGCGGTGGATGAACACCCACACACACCCGCGCGCGCGAGAGAGAGATCGTATTCCGGATGTTTTAAACCTTGCCAGATCTCAACTAGCCGCGTCTAGGGGAAAGGGGGGGAAAAGCCAGGCGGAGAAGCCAGCTCCATTTCCCTGCAGTTGCAGCAGCAGCTCCCCGAGGCGCTGCTGACTCCGCATTTTTCGCTCAGCTCCATGCGCGCACGCGCGCCCCGCTAGCCGGCCGCAGCCGAGACCGCCGGTGGCTTCCTCGCGTCGGCGTGGCGCGCCCAGCAGTGCGGCTGCCGAGAAGCGACCTGGCCCGGGAGCGCGGGGTCCCTTTCCCCTCGCGGCCCCTCTCCCCCGCCAAGCCAGGGGACCCGGCGGCGGCCTCGTCCCTCGCTCTCCCGCCTCTCGGGGACCTTTGGAGAATTATGTCTTTCCGCTGGGCTGAGGCGCGGCGAATAAACGCCTCCGGCTCCGAGGAGGAGCAGGCGCCCAGCGCCAGCAGCACCCGCCGGACCCTTTTGCCGCCCCGTCCATCCTGCAGCCCCCGACATGTCCCCCGCCGCCCCGGACTTGCTTCCACTCACCCGCCTTCCCGCCGCGCCCCTTCCCTCCGGCGAGCTGTTCCTGGGGTTGCGCGGCGAGCTCGGGATGCGGCGCCGCTGCTAGCGCATCCTTCTCTGGCCGCCTTCCTGCTGCTTCTCGGCCGCTTCCTCCGCTGCGAGGAGGGGCGAGGCGAGAGGAGAGAAGGCGAAAGGAAGGCGGCAGGCAGCCGGCAAAGCGGCCGATACGCAGCTCCCTCTAGGGTTGCATCCTGGTAGCCGCGAGATATAATATGTACTGTACAGTATTATTAAAAGAGAGTGAGTTGGAAAGGTCCGGAAAGAGTTTATTCCCACCCACCCTCTCCGCCAGATTTTCTGCAAAACCACCTCTGCGAAGGTTGATGTGAAATATTTGTTGTAGGTGCGTCAGATGTTACTCAACGGGAGTTGCAATGTGATCTGACACAGGATTCCAACATTTGGTACTTGACATCCTCATCCTCATCATGCCGTTTAGCATTCATTCATTCATTTCATTTATAGTCCACTTTTCCTTCAAAAAGGGATGCGGGTGGCGCTGTGGGTTAAACCACAGAACCTATGACTTGCCGATCAGAAGGTCGGCGGTTCGAATCCCTGTGATGGGGTGAGCTCCCGTTGCTCGGTCCCTGCTCCTGCCAACCTAGCAGTTCGAAAGCATGTCAAAGTGCAAGTAGATAAATAGGTACCGCTCTGGCGGGAAGGTAAACAGTGTTTCTGTGCGCTGCTCTGGTTCGCCAGAAGTGGCTTTGTCATGCTGGCCACATGACCTGGAAGCTGTATGCCGGCTCCCTCGGCCAATAAAGCAAGATGAGCGCCACAACCCCAGAGTCGGTCACGACTAGACCTAATGGTCAGGGGTCCCTTTACCTTTCCTTCAAAGAGCTGAAGCTTGCACACGTGAGTCTCCCCCTCCTCACAACAAGCTTGTGAGGTAGGTTAGGCTACGAGGGAGTGACTGGTCCAAGGTAACCCAGTGAGCTAAATGGATGCCCTCTGATTTGGACTCTACGCACACTCACCACCTGAAACCCCTAAAACAGCAATTTAACATGAATTTTACTACCTAATGAGACCACTGACCGATAAAACGAAAGCAATAATCAATGTACAGTGGTACCTCGGGTTACATACGCTTCAGGTTACAGACTCCGCTAACCCAGAAATATTACCTTGGGTTAAGAACTTTGCTTCAGGATAAGAACAGAAATCGTGTTCTGGTGGCGCGGCGGCAGCAGGACGCCCCATTAGCTAAAGTGGTGCTTCAGGTTAAGAACAGTTTCAGGTTAAGAACGGACCTCCAGAACAAATTAAGTACGTAACCAGAGGTACCACTGCACTGTACCATAAAATAAAACAGTATTGTTGATCAGGCATGTTCAACTTCAAGTAGGCTGCTTCCCCGAGGGGGCAGTGATGGGGGCAGGGTGGGCGGGTGCACAGTTCTCTTTCCTCCCCCCCCAAGCCAGACCTTTCTCTCCGCCCCCCCCAAAGCAGCTCTCTCTCTCCTCAAACCAGCTAGGCTGCGGAGCTCTTCTCAGAACACTGCAATTACAATGGGGGGACGCAAATTAGCAGCACAACAGTAAAAATGGAAGCTCAGGACACAAAACGGAGCATGTTCGACTTCCGAGGCAAAGTTCACAAACCGGAACACCTACTTGCAGGTTTGCAGCGTTTAAATTCCATGTTGTTTGTGAACTAAGCTGTTCAAAAAATGAGGTACCACTGTATAGGTGAATCTAAAAAGCCCGGGACACAAATTTTCACAGCCCTCTAGCAGCTATGATGGCTAATTTAACAGTAGTAATGTATTTAGCATAGCATTAACTCTGGAAGTGTATACTCAGTTCTGACCAAACTAATGCCTCCTAGAGCAAAATATACAGGTTAAAAAGAACTGCCATTTTTCATCTGCAGGATGTAAGCAGAAGGTCCTGGGCTTCAATCCCTGACATTTCCTAGTAGGTTTGGGAGACCCTCCTCTCTGAAATTCTGGAGAACTGCTGTCAGTCAGTGTAGACAATACTGATCCAGGTGGACCAATAGTCTGACTTGTTATAGGGCAGTTTTCTATGTTCTAATGCACGTTTTCCAGAAAACACAATTATAAATTATTCCTGTCCTAGTTGAAAGTGTGAGTCGTGTTACTGTTTTGCATAGGAGACAAAATATTTTGTACCCAGCACTGTTTGGTCTTGGCTACAAAATGAAATTCTGTTTTAACCATGTTTGAATGCTGGAAATGGATCGAAGCACAGTGATCTTTGCAAAACACGCACACGCTCAGCATAATTTAACATGCATAGCATCTGTACTCGCAGTTAGCACGAGCCACTGCCAGTAAGAACGGACACTATTAGGCTAGATGGACAAAGAGCCTCATCTGGTATAAGGCAGGTTCCTCTGTTTCAATTGAACCACCTTTCCCTGATTGTAGCATTGTTCAAATGTTACTGGTTTGCTCTGAGAGTTATAACTTGGGCCCAGTGCCCTGAGACTTTTTACAGATAATAAAAATGTTTGGAGCTGTAGACCTGCACAGATATCCCCAAAGAGCTCTTATTCCATTCCTGGCCATCTTTTAATCTGTTAATTTGTTGTTAGCTGAGCCAGGAGAGCAAAAGGTGAACTCTGGATTGCAAAACCACTGGGTGATCTCTCTTGTGGCTCCGCCCCTTCCAAGAATTCTAGAATCCTCAGAAGATTCTGAGCAGTTGGCTTTTCAATTTGAAGCTCTGATTCCAATCTGTTGAGACGAGCAGCCACCTTTGGGTGCCAGAGCAGAGTTAGCCTGCAGAAGACCAAAAACCGATGGATACTCTCACGGCTTCCTCTGTTTCCAGCAGGCCCTGGGTGCTCCAGTTCTTCAGAAACCTCTTTGGGAGCGGCAGGCATGTCACACAAGAGGGGCAGAGACCCAAGGCGAAAGACGAAGATAATGCCAAGAGTGAACTCCTGGACTCTCCTCTGCCCGAAAATGGGCTTGAAGCAACCTTGCCAAGCCAAGAGCCTGATGCCACCAAGACTTCTCCCAGTGAGATCTGTGGGGGGTTGATGGGCAGCTGCCCTGAAGAGCTGTCGTTGCTGAAGGAATTAAGTCTGGGAGACACTACCCCTACGAATGAGAACAAACTGCCCGCTTCATTTCACTCGGCTAGGATGGAGATGGGAGACTCAGGTGGCTTTGCTAACCCCATGATAAGTGGCTTGGCCAAGGACCCATGTGAGAAAGTTCCTGTCACGGGAGAGAAGGAAGAAGAATCTGATGACAGGGAGACGGTGGGAAAGTGAGTGTCACCAACGTTGAGGCCAAGTCTCAGCACACAGAACAGTGTTTAAAACTTCCAGGGTGGTATTCAGCTAAGTTTTTCTCGGAGTAGACCCATTGAAATTAATGAACATGACTAAAATCCTCTTCGAGTAAAACTCAGTTATTTCTAATAGGATTTAACATCCGTTCAGATTGCTTCCCATACAGGAATGTGTGAAAATATATGGGCAAATATTGCAAAGCCCTTCACAAAAACCACTTGTGTTAATTGGCTTCTGGCTGTATTACATGGGTACTAATTAGGAATGGAATTGCTCATTGACTGTTCCGGCTGTTCTTGGCTTCAAAAGGCTGAACACTTAATTTTGCGCTAAACTTTCCATGAGGTTGATTATCACACACTGAGCTGAGATACGTGGGGCTTTGCCTTGCTAACTGAAGTTCACTGTATGAGATGTTAACCATAAAAATGCACGTGGAAGGAAGGGTTACTACAGTTGGCAGCCAACCAGAATTTCACAAGCTTGACTTGTTATCATTTAGACTGGCTGCCAACAGCAGAGGATGCAAAGTCAGAAAAAATGCAGCAGAACTTGATTTAGCACATCTGTGTGTCTGCAGGCACAATAATATGAATGCATGTGCACTCTGTTGTTAGATGGAGATCTGCTTTTGCTGCCTTGCAGATGAACTCAATACTCTTCCCCTCAGCTGAGCGATTGTCTGCTACCTTCTTCCAGGTTGCTCAAATCATATGGAGACAGGCTGAAAGTGAGGCCTTTGGACAGAAAAAGGAACATCTCTGTTACAAAAAACCAAACCGCTTTGCACATGCTCCACCTCCAACACATTTTACTCTGAAGTTGTTTTTCGAGGGGAAAGCCCTTTTATCATCTTAAGAGGAAAATGGAGATCTGGACATGCTCAGAAGCGCTTGGCTGGAGGTGTCTGGATTTTTGAGAACAACATTTGCAATCCTAGAGTTGCACTTAAAACCTCCCATCTGTGTATAATGAATAATCATTAACAGTTAATAATTCAATTTTAAGTAGAGGTATTTGCATAAGCAGTGCTGCCATGAATAATTCTTAATGTAAGATTTCCATGTGAAGAGGTTTCCATAATCTGTTATTACGAACCACAGATTATCATGGAGACTAACTACCTGGGTCTTTTAGATACAGACTGAAGGCTTTGTTCATGCAGTCAACTAAAGGGCTTGACTTAGAGACAGGCCTCATCCCAGGAAATTCTCTCTTAAAATTTTAATCCCCTCAACATCATTGCTTTTATTCACTACAGTAAATCCACCTGTCTGTGGCAATGTAGCAATTATCATTGCTGATAAAGATGTGGCGTTTGGGTGTAGATATTAGGGTGGGAAGAAAAAAAATGATGAATGAAGCACTAATGTGGATGTCCCCTTCTTCTATGCAATAATTGTGTGTTTGACTTTAGGGATGAATTTCCCCAGGTCCTATGTGCAGATGATGGAGCTGCCATGTCTGCTGGATCCATGACTGATGTTAAAGGCTGTAGCGCTGAAGAGGAAAGAGAGCATCTACTGAAAGGTGAGAGCTGGAAGAAGATTCCCACTCACCCATATGGCAGCTGCTGTCCAACAGTACCTTTACCCCACCCCCCAAGCTGTCATGACTTGATTGTTTTCATACTATTCAATACCAGATGTCTGAGGTTTGAGACATGTATTTCAAGCAAGCAGGAGGCAAACCTTACAATCAGGAACACCCAGTATTATGTCAGATGGCCCATTAAAGATGGGTAAGAACTACAGCTGCAGTTCTTATTAGGTGATTCCATTGAATTATATTGCGCAGAGGCTGTATTCACACCAGTAGATGCTGGTCCAGTGGGTCAAACATTGCAGGTGTCCAGATAGCTCTGAGTGAGAAGATTTCACTGACAAAGGTTGAGAGCAGGCTGAAGCCTTTTATGCAGGCATAGGCAAATTTGGCCCTCCAGATGTTTTGGGACTACGACTCCCATGAACCCTAGCTAACAGGACCAGTGGTCAGGGATGATGGGAAGTGTAGTCCCAAAATATCTGGCGGGCTGAGTTTGCATATGCCTGGCTTTATGTTTCCAGACTACGGTACCTCCTCCAGGCTCTCCTCACTTGTGGGGAAATTCAATCAATCATTCTATATGTAAGCCGCCTTTCCTAAGTTAAAACAATGCCCAAGGTGGCTTACGACATATCAAAAGTTAAATAACTACAAGCATAACAGAACCCCACCCCAGTGTAATGTATCTTATCTTACACCACTGATCTGGAGAGGTACTATGGGAGGCATTTGTTTTCTCAGACTCAGGGGAAGGTGGCTGTGAGGATTTGGGCCCTGACCCTACAGGCTTTAGTAGACTAAGAGATTCTTCTGGAGACTCCTGTCTCACAGCCTCAAGCATAGTGGTCTCCTGATCTGCAGCAGCCAGTTCAGAGCCCTGCTTCTTGATCCGATTCTTTAGCTGGTGCCTGTGCAGCCTCAAGCTCTGTGGCTGAATTGCTGCTGGATTTAGAGGGCATTACAACCCACCCTGGTTATATGGAGAGACTTCATGAGTTGGTGACATGGCTTTTCTTTTAAACAGAAGATGTACAAGAAGGGGAACCTCCAAAAGCAGACCTCTCTCCATGGAACAGACTCCTCAATATGTACAAGCAGCGCCGGTGGCTTCCTGCTTCTAAAGGGGTAAATATGCGACAGGGAGTTGTTTTGGGGTTTTCCCCTCCCTCTCTGCAAGTGGCATAAATAAATATGTGATTTCCATCAGAAGAGTGAAGGTAACAAAATTGCATTGTGAGCTGGCCTCTAGAATCCCCTCTAGAATGCAATGTGAATTTGCTTTGCTTAAAAATCAAAAGATAGGTGGGATTTGAGAGTATCTATGCTAGCTGCCAGTGCCACATATTTATTTTTATTATTTGTTTAAATATAACACCCCACCTTTTCATCTGTCAACCCACAAGCTAGCTCACAATAGCTATTATCACCCGGTGAAAATGTTAAGAATGAAAAAGGAACAACACAGCAGTAGGAATCAGTAGATCTAGTAGCAATCAAGACAATAATCAGCAAAATGGCAAGCAACAATACTTGACTTGCAAATGGAAAATATCAAGGAGTCTTGATATTACAAGTGGTAGCTCCTCCATCAAGAAACTGTGTCCAGACAGGGACAGTTGTCATGCCTGTGATCTTGTGGTGCTCAATAAATGTTAAATTATAACAGCAGACGTCTTAGAGATACTTAAGAAACCCTTGAAATAGGGTATGGCAAAATAATTCAGGGCCAGCAGTCATAGCCCTTCAGCAATAGCCCACTTCATCAGCTGCATTAAGTGCTATTATTTGTTGGCAGATATATACCCGGGTGTGGGGGGATGACAACCAATTAACAGTGGAATAAAAGACCATGAAATGCAAGAGATGTACAGCATGTGACATTTCTATGCAGAGCTCAAATGTATGGATGTAATCCCAGCGACCTCATTTTAGCAGTACTAATTTAACACCCATATTGGAAGGGAGACCTTGATTCAGACTGAGTCCTAAACAAATGCAATCAAATACACTGATTAGCTCCGCATTAATTTAAATTCTAGTTTCACACTGGAGACTCGTTTTAAAGTTGTTGTTGTTGACATATCAGCAGCCGAGTGTCCTAAAACTAAGATAGAGACTTAACATCAGCATCTGACTTCCTTGGGTAGCTGCTTGCTAAAGTCTGTCTTCCTTGGGCCCCCTCAAGAGCATTGCTCTGGTAACTGCAATTTGGTTGCCATCAGTGGCGGGTTTAGGAGCACAACTGGTTTGCCCACACTGGGCACTGAACTGAGAGGGCACTGGAGGCGGCACCACAACCATGACTTAGAACAGAAGGTGAGAGGCAATGAGGTGCATGTGCCAAATTTTGGTGTTGCACTGGGCGGCACTGAAATTTGAAAGCCCAAAGTCTGCCACTGGTGACATCCCTTATATTACTTTTCCCACAATGCCCTGGACATGTTTCAGTCCAAGCAAGCAAAACTCAAGAGTGGAAACTATTTCTCATTGCTACCATCACCATGCTTGGAAAATCTGTTCTGTCAGTTTCTGCCTGTGAGTCAGCTGTTACATGCCAGCATCACATGATAATAAACCTAAACAGCACTTTTAAGCATTCAAATAGCTTTGTATACATTATCTCAGTAAGCTTACAATAACGCTGAAAAGTAGGACAACCTTTATGCCCTCATATTGTGGGTGTGGAGGGCAAGATCTGAAAGACAGTAGCATGCCTAAGGCCACCTCAGAGCTGAGGTGAAGACGGGGGATTTCCCAACTGCCTGTTTTCTTAACCACTGTACCAACACAACGCCTCTGCCCATAAAAACAGCAAGTAGCTCCAGCCAAAGCAATGGCTTTTGCACATGTTTCTCTTTCAATCCTTACCACACAGATAAGCAAGCGCTTGTGCAAAGGGCTTAATCATGCCTATTTTTAGTAACATATTTTGCAGCCACATGGAAATGGCTTCATAAGCATCTTTTTGCACCATATACATTGCCCTCAACACCGTTAGTGCCTAATGATTGGGAGTGCTTACATAGCTGGGTATTGCAGCAGAATTACAGTAGGTAGTAGTCAGTTACCATAATTAGTCGTAATTTTAACTATTCTGTTGCTTGGCGCATTGGCTTTCCAACCAGAGGGAAAGGGGAAGTTTCATATAACAGCCCACAAGACTTAGCACAAGCCTAACCAGGTCTACTCAGAGGAACTGGGCATGGAGGAAAGGGTTAATTTCCTTCATGGGCACAAATCACCTTGTGTATGAGATAAGCAAGCAGGTGCAAGGTCAGCAAAGCTGGTTGTTATGGCTGTGACCCAGTGCTGTCTATATAAGTGAGCAAGGCACGTCAGCTCATTAGTCAGTCAGTGAGCCTTTCTGTGGAGTCTGTGTTATGTCTTAAAGCTGGAGCAACAGAGATACTTTGTCCTTATCTGTATCTGTATCTGTTTCTGTATCTGTACAGTGGTACCTCAGGTTAAGAATTTACCATAATTTGTTCTGGAGGTCTGTTCTTAACCTGAAACTGTTCTTAACCTGAAGCACCACTTTAGCTAATGGGGCCTCCTGCTGCAGTTACGTCACCACTGCGTGGTTTCTGTTCTCATCCTGAAGCAAAGTTCACTGTATCTGTATCCGTATCTGTATCTCTGTATCGCCACCAAGGACTGTATTACTGAAGTCTAATCTTCTACAGCAGTAAACTATTTTTGCATCTTAACATGGCCCTGTGGGGTGAATGGAACGGAGGACAACTTCCAGTACATGGGTATCTCGCCTCAGATTCCCACCACAAACCTGGCCTTCTGGTAGTGAAGTTGTTGAAACTTACTGGAAGTGGGAGGGGCAAGGTGAAGGGGGGGCTGTGTTATGCCAGCACATTGGTGGAGCCAATCTGGTACTCCCACCAGTGCACCCACACAGGGTGTCTGTCTGCTCTTTTTATCCTGTTTTATATTTTCTGGCTGTTTACTTCCCCCTCCCCTTCTGGGTTGAACACATGTAGGATATATTGGTGGCCATTCTTCTGGCAGAGCAGTGGCACATCTTCTTCCTTAGCATACAGTGGTACCTTAGGTTACAGATACTTCAGGTTACAGACGCTTCAGGTTACAGACTCCGCTAACCCAGAAATAGTACCTTGGGTTAAGTACTTTGCTTTAAGATAAGAACAGAAATCGTGCGGCAGCGGGAGGCCCCATTAGCTAAAGTGGTACCTCAGGTTAAGAACAGTTTCAGGTTGAGAACGGACCTCCAGGTTAAGTTCTTAACCTGAGGTACCATTGTAATAGGTGCATAGGGTTGCTGTGTTAGGCTGCAATCCTAAACATACATACTAAACACAGTGGTCTTCCGCAGAAATGTGCAGAACAGTCCTAAGCATGTTTATTCAGAAATAATTCTCACCAATTTCGATGGAGCTTCTTCCCACAAGAAGGATTTCCTTCTTATGCAGGCATGTCTTTCTGTCAGATGCTTGTTTTTTCCGTTTTAATCTTGTAAGTTTTTGGTCATTTCATTTTTGCAACAGTCCATGACTAATATCAATAAAATTGAACTGCACTCATGCAGTCCCAATAGAATCAGATTTCAAACATCCATAATTGTTCAAAATCAAAATTACATTCTTGGTCCACTTGTGAAATAATATAACACAGGTATTTATGCAATTTCAGAAACCTTTCTATAATTGGATATTAAAACTAAATTCCATTTTATCTTGCCACATCTTCTGAATATGTTTTTTTTAAAATATATACATATATGCACCATCTTCAGGATATTCCAGTACAACCAGTTGTTGAAGATGATCTAATGGTATATGGAATTGCAACACCCAGACCTCATGTCACCCTATCAAATTCCTCTGCAGTTTGCAGTGCTTGTGGGTAAGTTTTTTGTGGTGCTCTTCATCCCCCAAATTCTGAAACATTGAGTAGATGGTCCCCAAATACCAAAACTTGTGCAATGTGATGTTGAAATGTAGAATGTAACAAATGAGAATGAGCAACAAAAGATTGTGGGGTGCCTCTGGCCCCTAAGCAGAGGTTCCAGCTAGGACAATGATGGACCACCAGATTTGTATTCTAAAGAGGGTTCTTCAGCTCTTCACTAAGCCAACTGGAGTTGATAAATGAAAATGAATTGTCAGGTGGAGTGCTGGGAACAACTTTGGATAGTACCACATGTGACCACTAGATGTCACTGTCCAATTTAGAACAAATTTACCGGGCTAAAGTGTGTACTGTATCCAATAGTGGCTGTAAAGGCATTAAAATGCATTACAGTACTTGGATTAAAAGAAAACATCCTGGTTTAAGGGGCAATAATTTGGAATGGAGAATTTATAGTGAGTCACCCTGATACAGAGTCTTTAATTTACGGAGTATTTAAAAATACTTTCTCTTTCTTAATCTGCTGTAAGGATTATAATTAGATATATACGATTGTACATTTTAAATCTGCAATTTGTTGGTGTTGAATATATAAGTGTAGATGTGTATGAACGTGAAAGAAATCTTAGTAAAAACCAACCGTGGTGGTGGCAAATCTTTTTGACAAATATGCCATAGGTGAAGTCCAAAGTCTTAGAGAGTGCCACCCTAGTATGTACACATTCCATATTCATCATCCTGTGCCTTTGTGTGAGTCTGCTGAGCTGGGGAACAGGGAACAGTTGGCTGTGTAGCAGGGGGCGGGGAGGAAAAATGTGGCTCATAATTAATATGCTATAGCCCTAAGCCTCTCTTATTTGTGCTGCCTATAACACTTGTGCCAAAGGCTGGCTATCCATGATATATTATAGAACTACAGAAAAAGTGAAGGACTTAATAGGACATCCTCAGGCCTTCCTAAATTTATTTTCTTACACAGAATATGCACACTTATTGCTGAGGATCCAGTTGGCCTATTCAAAAGCACTGCTGTGGGAATTCAGCTCCCCCCCCAATAATATAAATTAAAACTATCCCACGTGTATTGAAATTAAAGGCATCACCACTCTCCTCTTACCCATAGCAATGACTTACCATTTTGTAAATCTTTAAAAACTATTTCCTTTGAAGTATAACATTGATCTGCACCAACAGTAGAATTCATAAATGCTCTGTTTCTGTTAAAAGGCAAACAGATGATCCTCTCACAAACTTGGGGTCCAACTTTTGTGCAATTAAAAAAATACGGTTGGATCACTGTGATCGTTGGATAAATAGTGGTACAGAAATTTAAAAACAGGAACAACAACTGATCACTGATCACCCGGATAAAGTTTAATCTGCCTTTAATTGGCCTCTAGAAGTGCTACAGATGTGATGAACAGATGATTACCTTGAACTCTCATTACATCTCTGTTTTAATGAGCATTGAAGTACCTACTGATAAGGTACTGTGCTGGATCCTTTTGAGGGCAATTCATAATAGTATAACAGTTGTCCTTAGAGAGCAGTGCAGTAAATTAATTTGAAAGCTGCACATGAAGTTTAATCTGTTATAAACTTCTTGTTGTTTTTAAAATAAAGCCAGTGATAGTTGGAGCCCTGAGACTGACTTTTGCTTGGTATACTTTGTAGAAGCTATTTTATTTATAGCATTCAGATTTTAGAGAAAGGAATGAGAATGGCTATTCAGATTCGGACATTGACCCAAGCTATGACGTTAAGGGCAGTCACATTTGTTTATTTAAATAAGAGCATTTATAAACAACTTAATATTTTTTAAAAATCCCTGAGTGGTGTACAACATAAAAACAATAAACAATATCATGAAAACAAAAATACAACACAAACCCAATAAAACAGATATACAAAATGTGTAAAAGCAGGAATTTTGGAGATAATAGAAATGGGACGCGGGTGGCGCTGTGGGTAAAACCTCAGCGCCTAGGACTTGCCGATCGCATGGTCGGCGGTTCGAATCCCCGCGGCGGGGTGCGCTCCCGTTGCTCGGTCCCAGCGTCTGCCAACCTAGCAGTTCGAAAGCACCCCCGGGTGCAAGTAGATAAATAGGGACTGCTTACTAGCGGGAAGGTAAACGGCGTTTCCGTGTGCTGCTCTGGCTCGCCAGAAGCGGCTTCGTCACGCTGGCCACATGACCCGGAAGTGTCTGCGGACAGCGCTGGCTCCCGGCCTATAGAGTGAGATGAGCGCACAACCCTAGAGTCTGTCAAGACTGGCCCATACGGGCAGGGGTACCTTTACCTTTACCTTACAAATAGAAACAGGATCCAATCTTAAGGGTCCAGGAAAACCTAGGCAGGAAGATGTCTTTATGAGACATTTAAAACAACTGATGGTTGCAATATCAATTTTGGGGTCAACTGCCATTGGCTATTCTGTAGCTTGTAGAATTTCCCCAGCTCTCTCTACTTAAGGCCTAACTGGTAAAATGGGAACAGTCAAGATTTTACTAGGTTCCATCAGTGCTAGCAATGCTTCTAATCTAACTTTGTCTCTCCCTGCTCCAATGCAATCTAGGCTTCCTGAGAATGAAGATGGAGAAGGGGCTGGTGACTGTGAGACAGCACTCAGAGGTCCAGGAAGAAATGATGCTGGAAGTCTGGAGCAGCCTAAGGTGTTGTAGATGCTAATATAGTCTGGGAGGGAATGGAGGCTCATAGCACTTTCCAACATTTCTAACTTTTTGTCTTTAAAGTGCTATAGGATTGTCTTTTTTGCTGAACCAGCAAAAGAGAGGGCTCCCCTCTTCTAGTTCTCTAGTGAGAATGACAGGATCATGGTACTCACAGGCGAACCAGGAATCACCTCCATTTCCCTCCTGACAGAGGCTCTGAGCTTTTAACTGCTACATGATGGGCAGAAATTCAACAGCTGCGGCTTCTGAGCACTACTTCATTGCCATGCCATCAAGGATGGCACCTGTTGAATTTCTGCATGCGATACAGCTGTTGCAGACAAATAACCTTTATTGGGGAGGGGAAAGTCCACAACCCCAACCTCATCAACTGTAACTGTGAATGTAGAGAACAACTTTACTTGCAGATGGTAAATTGAATCCCTGAAAGGGTCATGCCTTGATCTTCATGGATGCTGAATTCACTGGGGTTTTCTTTCAATCAGCAGTCAGGACAATGGACTGAGCTCCTTGAGTTTTTTCTTGGCTATTAATTAATGGAGCATCATCTTACATGTCTGCATTAGCAGGGAGAAGAGGGTAGGGTAAGATAAAGGACCAGTGTGGAGCAGTGGCTAGTGTGTAGAAAACCCAAGTTTAAATTACTGCTAGGCTATAAAACTGTCTGGGTGAACATGGTCTGGCATTAGCACATGGCATCCTCAGGCATCTGGCCAGCTACTGATGCCCACCCTCTTTTTGTCTGGTGCTCTGATCAACACCAGGTGGCTGGGATTGAGAGCCACCATTTAAATTTCCCACAATGCCCCACAACAATTGGGTATATTTTGGAAATCAAAATGGCAGCTTCCAGCCGCACAGCACTGATTGAAGCTGTTACTGCTATCTACCATGGCTGTTGTTTCCAGAGCTCACCAACATTGAAGGAGACCTACCACTGACAGAGGAAGGGAACACCAAAGGAGCCCTTTACCAAGGGGTCTTTCAAGCTTAGAGCTGGCTCTGCTTTTGTTAAGTATTCTCAAATATTCTTCAGGATGACTGTGAGCTCACAACACCACTTTGAAGGAGAAAGCAGGATTCAAATGTAGGATATCAGTGACAATGGAACTTCAGAGTGATCACTGGTATGCCTTTGTAACATTTTTCTTTCTTTCCACCCTTGTTAGAATGTGCACTGAGGAAACACTGTCGGAGTCGCTTTGAGTCTGCCAACTTCACCCTTCTCCACTTTCCTTGCTGGGAGGAAGAAGGTCTACTAAGGATTGTTATTTGTAACCCACCAGGACTGTTTAAAATTTCTTTCTTTCTTTCTTTCTTTCTTTCTTTCTTTCTTTCTTTCTTTCTTTCTTTCTTTCGTATAGCTGTTGCCCACTTTCCCCTGTGCTCCCCTTACAAATCCACCAGATGTGTTCGTAGTATATATTTCAGGTTGATGAACTGCTCTTCCACCTCCTCATTAAAGTTTTCCTGTGAATTCATATCTTTTTTGTGTGCTTTTAATGTCACACATGACAAAGCAAGACATCTCTTGAGGCTTCATGAAACACAGAAGGCTCATTCAGACTTCTGCTTGTCTCGCCACTTTCCCCTTGGAAAACCCAATACTAACTGCTGAATCAGAACAAATGTCAATCGGGTTGTCCGTGGACTGATGTTTACTCTGATACAGTGTTAAAGAGCTGGTTTTCCCAGGGAAATCAGTGGGGCAAACAGAAAACCACTTGGATCTGTGCTTTCTAGGCACAGGACAAGCTGAAGGGTGAACTATGTATGGGAAATCAACATAGATATTGACCTCAATATCCAACAAAATCTGAGTTTTTAGACCTATGCATTCTCTTGCTCATTGTTTCTTCGAGGTGTAAAACATCAAATGCCATAAGCCGTTGTTGACTATCAGTGATAGATACTGACAAACATAAAGCATTCAAATAAATGATTGGAAACAAATATTAAGATCAAATATTGGAATATATAAAATACTGATGCTAAGCTGAATATCTACCAAATATTTGGCACTCACATGTGCAGAGAAAAACTTTTGAGGATCATTAGGGAAAGGGCAAATTCTCTTCAGCTCCACTTATTCCATCATTTCTAGTATTTTAACTTTTTGGGTCAGGCAACTGAGGTCTTGTACTTCAATGTACTCTGGGTCCCTCCAGACCTTTTCATTATGCATTCATGATGATTCCTGCTCATGAGGATATCAAGGTGGTCATACACAATCCCAAATTCAATACTGTTTGTGTGTGCAAAAATGTTGGATGGTCACACGCATATCCCATAACTTCCTGGTGAAATCCCGTAATTATATATACCACAAATGTTCTGGTTTATCTTTTTCCCATTTTTGTTTGACGATAGCCCCTCCAGACAGCAATAATGTCAAATTCTAAGAACTAAGAACAAATTCACCATAAATGCACTATTATTGAGTCAAGAACAGATTGCAGAAAAAACAATAAAACACTAGTCTGGAGGGGCTTTCTATTATTCAACTCTTGATTGGCAGCTACGTTCCAGAGTCACAGAAAGAGATCTTTCCTAGTTCTAAAACCTGAAAACCTTTGTTCCTGCCTCTGTTTCAGAGTGTGGATTTGGACTAGGAAATGGATCTTGCTGCTCTCTTTATACCTTCAGCCTCTTGTAAGAGGTGAACTGTAGGCTAGCCCTTGGCATTTTTAACCACAGACTGTGAGAATTGAGCCGGAATAGTTCTGGCAGCCCAAGGCCCCTGCTAATCTGGGAATTCTATGAGAGGAAACCCACACCCTGCAAACCTGCCAGACGACAAAGCCTTCTTCATACATGTTGACTCCCAGGGGATTGCAAAATAGAGCAGTTACTATTTTTGTACAGGTTTTATTGATTACTTTTCAGGATCTGCAGTTGCTTTGCCCTTAGCTTTGCAGCGTAAGTATGGCTGGCACCCAGAATACGGCTAATGTGTCTATTTCACAAAAGCACATAGTTTGTGGGCTAATCATCTTAGGTGCCATCACTTGTCTCCAAGATATATGCAAAAGCATCTGACTACTGCTGCTACCTATTTTGATTATTGTGTCTCAGAAGACTCTCCTCAATATTGTACATGGTTTCTTTAGTTAGACACCAGGCTCAATAATAAGAATTTAAGGAATTATGGAATATTCTTTTCTATATTTGTTATATATGGGGTGTATGGGGTGTTAGGAGAGGTAAGGTAAAGATAAAGGACCCCTAGATGGTTAAGTCCAGTCAAATTTGACTATGGGGTGCTGTGCTCATCTCCCCTTTCAGGCTGAGGGAGCTGGTGTTTGTCCGCAGACAAGTTTACGGATCATGACTAAACTGAGTAGTACCTCTGCTGAGGGACCTGTTGTGCTCCTTCTTGTGTAGTTTGTCTACCTTTGGTCTCCACCATATGTGATGAGCGCAAAGGCACTTTTTCCTCTCTCGCCATTGGGCCCACTCTCACTTAGAGAATTTGCCCCCACCTCACTGAAGAACCCTTAACCCGAAGGTTTCTTTTCCTTTCCTCTTAAAATTCTAACCCAGAGTATCCTGCAGGGGACCTTTGTGAGGGGATATTTAGTAAGTTGGAGTCTCAGACAGGTTTTCGTTAAATAAACAATAAAGATTTATTTAAGGCAAGATAGCATGTAACACAAATGGATTAAACTTAGGTTACTTCAGGCATACAGTACAATTACACTTTAATTCTTCCTCAGTTGTTTTTGTGTTATAGGTTTGGTTCCTTTATACGGTGATACTTTCTTTCAGTTATCCTCTCCCTTTAACAATCCTGCTCCTGAGGTACCTTAAGCCAGTGTTTTTCAACCACTGTTCCGCGGCACACTAGTGTGCCGCGAGATGTTGCCTGGGTGCGTGGGAAAAATTAAAATCGAAGATTTTTTTTTTAAAAAAGTCACATTTTTCGCCACTAGGGTGGCGCGGACTGTGTCCACCCTATTTTCCATCCGTCCGGTGGGGATAGATCAGATTGGGATCGGATGAGATCGACAGGGGGTCCGGCTCTATGATTCCCCCAATTAGAGAGCAGCGGGGGCTCTGACATCTCCCTTCGAACACGTGGTGGTTGTGCTCGTGTTTTTTTAGAAAAAGTGTGCCTTTGCCCAAAGGTTTGAAAACACTGCCTTAACAATAGCACCCAAGGGCTCTCCACACCCCCCTTCACTGGGTTGGGAGTTCTCTTTTCCTTAGAAGAACCTCCCCTCCAGACTAGTTTGAGTCCAAGTAGGCTGTATCCTTTCCACCTCCTACTTCTCCTGGCTCAGCCTCTGCCTCCAGTAATATCCGGTCTATTCCTCCTACAGGACACCACGCGCCTGTCCCTACACAGTACACTCAGAATGGAAGTTGTTTTTCCCCAGAACCAACTCTCGAATTCACTCTTTCTACCTCAACCTGTCTCCCTACCTATCTCTTGACCTCTCCAACCTCTATTCCAACCCACTCACCCAACCTTACTCTACCTAACCGTCTCTCAAATCCTCTCCTTTTAAACTCTCCCTCCTGGAACAATGGCCAGTCGGAGGCTGCTGTTCATTAACCATTTGCTGGCAGGGAAAAACAAAACAAAAGAAACACTTTTTGATCCAACCGGTCCAGCAAAACCAACTTTTTCATCACACCCTGCACTCAGCTCTCTGCTGTGCCTCCTAGAAGCCATCAGCATGCAACAGCAGCCACACCCTGGGAACAGTTTCGACTGGCCAGCTAAACCAGGTGAAGGTAGCGGATGAGTCTCAAACAGTTAGGGACTTCCCCTACATGCAAAGACAGGCTCTGGCAGATGGTGCAGATGAGATCAATAATGGGTCTAACATAGGGTTGCCATATGTCCAGAATTTCCCAGACATAGCCAGGATTTGGCCGTTGAAAACAGTGTCTGGGCGGAAATTGCTTGAATGTCAGAAGTGTAGAAAAAAAGCTCAAAAAACTTTGCCAAAATGTCTGGATTTTCACTTTTTGAAATAAGGCAACCCTAGAGTCAAGAAGGTGGTTTCTGCACAAGCTGTAGAGGGAAGTGAGGGGCCGATGGGGCTTGTCAACCTGGGAAAGTAGCCCATCTAGGAGAAGGAAAACTCTGATCCTACACCTCTGCTGCCTTGTGGGGCATCCTACAAAATCTGAAGAATGGTTGGATGGAGTCTTGTATGCCTGGTATGCCTCCTTCTGGCAACTAATGCAGCCAAGCTGGTGCCAAATATATTGCTCTGCTTTCCTTTGAACTACAGTGGTACCTCGGGTTACATACGCTTCAGGTTACATATGCTTCAGGTTACATACTCCACTAACCCAGAATTATTACCTTGGGTTAAGAACTTTGCTTCAGGATGGGAACAGAAATCGTGCCCTGGCGGCGTGGCAGCTGCAGGAGGCCCCATTAGCTAAAGTGGTGCTTCAGGTTAAGAACAGTTTCAGGTTAAGGACAGACCTCCAGAACAAATTAAGTTCTTAACCCGAGGTACCATCCGGGCAGCCCAGGACCTCCATACACACTGCCCAGGCTTGTGCCCCAAGGAAGTACCTTCAGTGCTGCTAACACAGTGGTTGGACTTTACCCCCAGAAGCACACTCCATTTTCTCTTGAGACAGACAGATGCTACCAAAATTTCTCAGCCTGAAATATTCTATTTCTGTTTCTATTTAAGCTATAGGTGAGTCAGTGTCTACTATTTTGAGTGGAACAGGAACCCTATGATTATCAACAAATATGTTGAAACCAAGGAGACGCCTTACAATACTTCATAGTTAAAAAATTATGTATTGTAATGAGTTTACTTGGTTTCAGCATAGGTGGTTCCCGCTCCACTCAGGATAGTGGAGAACTGGCTCTCATCGTCATCAACCTCCCAATATTCTGGCAATAATTAGACTTTAGTCACTGAAACCACTGGTGTTTCTTCTTGGCATTGCACGAAATGACTGTACTCAGGTCAAGAAAGTTCATCACACAGAGGTCCGTATTACTTTTGTGAAGAGATGCAATTCTTGCACGCCTTATTCCCCAAGTACTAAAACCTTGTGAGAGCCAGATGGGGCCGGATTTAGGTTTGATGAGCCCCTAAGCTACTGGAGGTAATGGGGCCCTTTATATGTCCAGCTGTCCTTTGTCAACAACAAATTGTCGCTGTTTTTTGTGTTGAATATATGCTATATGGTAATTTATGGACCTAATAGGTATCTAAAGCCATTTGCACATAACAAATAGGAGCCTACACAACACAAAACACTTGCTGTATGCAGGTTTTATTTGTTTTTTTTATTTTATGCTTTGGAAATGTACATCCAGGTTTTTTTTCCCTTTAATTTTTGGGGGGCCCAAGAGAGCGGTGCCCTATGCTATAGCTTGTTTAGCTTATACGTAAATCCGTCAGTAGACTAAGGTGTGGAATCAGGAGCAATTCATTCAGCACTTCTGCCTTGTTCAAAACTACATTTGCGGCGCTTGAGATATTTCCCAAATTTG